TATCGTCATTTGTTTCTTCATCATCTTCATCACTCGATTCATTATCACTTAGCTCTTTTATGGAGTACTTTGAACAAGAAGCCTTTAGAGCTATTGACTTATTTTCCGTATCTTTTGTCCTTTTTTTCTTTTCCTTGGGACCGTTTTGTATAACATTCCATACATTTTTATCAACGGAATTGATATGTACGCACATACAATCTTTCCAATAACTATAGTTCTCACCGTAAAAAACTGATGCTTTATTGTAAGCTCATTTTGGTTCATTTGTCATATTCTAAAAAGTTATATGTGAAGCACGGAATGAACTAGAAGGGGGTTGAATAGATCATTAATTCCTAAACAGAGTCGGTGCTTAAATGAAATTTAGTTTTTAAAATTTTATGCGGAAGCGGCTGAGGAACTATGGTCGTCTAAATAAACCGTTATTGAAAAGATCGGATATGTGATAAACCTAGATGGAATATCGACTCCGATGAGAAAAGCAAATAAAAATTTTGAACACCAATCAATACAATTTTATTTACCTTAGATTGTGCAATTTTCAATGCCTTGTGAAAATAAAACTCAAATTGACAACATCCCAAAAGGTTTGTGTTTGATCAATTTGTCGAACACTTGGTGTACGACACACTCCAAGTGAAATTCTACAAGTAATGGTAGTGCATAAATTTTCCAATTACAATCAAAAGGATTGTAATGAACTTTCAAAATATTTTTCAGCACTACACTATACTAGAATTTTACCGAGCAATTTGATTGAACATAAACGTAAAAAATCAGAAATAGAAAAATAGAAAAAGAGAGAACAACACCAAATTTGTTGAGGCAGTTCCCCCTTCATCCTCGCTTGGGGTACGTCTACCCTCAATTCTAGAAATAGAATTGAGATCTATATAAATTTGTTGTAAATGTTTGTACAAGAAAAGCAATAGTAATCACACACTCAAGCCTAGTTGTTGATGTTAAAACTATGTCTTCTCTCCCCTTGATTCAAGGTGAATCAAGTGCCTCGAATATGTTGAATAAACCTCTGATTCTAGCTACTCGTCTGAAAAACACAAAGGTCTTCAAATCTTTAGCCTGACTGATTTCAATCACACACAATTTGAACCCAAATCTTTCTTCCACAATCCTTTGATTACCGCTACTAGATTGAACGAACCACCCGTTTTTCAATCACATTCGCTCGGCTGAATCTGTGAAGAAATTATTTGTGCAAAAACCCCCCAAAATCACAAGATTCTTGGAGGAATAAACCCTAACGATTTTATTCAAGAAAAACCCACCGATCTCTCAACGCACGACTCTTCATTTCCTAATATATTAATTAATTAATTATAAAATAAACATGTCAAATTATATAATTATATATTATATAATATAAAGCTAAATATTATGGTCGGGGTCGGGAAATCCGCGGGGTGGAGGGTACTTCTCCAATCCCCACCCCAAAGTGACATCGGAGGAACTTTTCCCTCTATCCCCGTCTCCGCGGAGAATAAAATCTCTAACTTCAAGGCTCCAAACAGATAATCTCCACAGAAATCTCTGTTAATATTGACATTCCTAGATTGGACTTTATAAAGCACAGGTATAGTTAGAATAAAAAAAATTAAGGTGTGGATTTGATATGTTACCTATCATAGACTTATTTTTAAATTTCATCCTAACTTTTTTAAAGTCTATATGATCTAATATTATATGTAATAGTCTATTTTACATTAACATCTTTATACATAATAATGAAATAATGGACTAATGAAATTTCACTTTATTTTTTATATTGAACATATATAATTATTATTTTTTAAATTAATTTTAAATGATATTTTATAATATAATTTATAATAAAACATTTAAATATATTGGAAACATTAATATAGAGAAGTATGTTTAAATTATTTAAAATGTTAATAAATTTATGCTTAAATAGGCCGCTGGTCTATGTAAGTTAGCGAGTTTTTTATTTTGGTCTATGTAAGTGTTGTTCTTATCTGAGTCTCTATATCTCACTTTTTGTATGCGGTTTAGATCCTAAAGTCAAAATTCGCAGGAAAATCCACCGGTTTCCTGTGAATTTTGACTTTAGGGACTGCACACAAAAAGTGAAATATAGGGACTCAGACAACAAAAAAACTAACAGGAACCAAAATCAAAAACTCGTAACTTATAGAGGGCCAAAAGTGCATTCAAAGTGATATGGGATTCACTCTAATCTTTTTCAGGTTAGGTGTGGTATTAGCAGGGGCGGCCTTTCCCATGTGCAGCAAGTGTTGTTGCATTGGACCTCAAATTTTCAAGGGCTCAATTTTATTTTATTTTAATTGCAAAAACAATATATTTTACATCTATTATTTTAAAACCAGGTGTAAAATCATACTTTGTTTTCAAACCTCCGTAATTTTATATCAGTTTTTAAAAAACTTATGTAAAATCATAACTTTAAAATTGTATTTTTTTAATAATTTAGACCTATTTTAAAAATTAGAGTTGGGCCTCCGGACTAATTGGGTCGGCCCTAGGTATTAGGCATGGTGAACCCATGTCCCCTCTCTTTTTTTGTAGTTATTATGGAGTATTTGAACAAAAGCTTACGCAAAATGAAAAGGAACCATGATTTTAATCATCATGCCAAATGTTAGAAGTTTCACATTACTAATTTGTCCTTTAGATGACATGATTTTGTTTTCAAGAGGAGATTATAGATCTATTGAGCTTATGATGAGTGCATTCAACGGCTTCTCTATGTCAACTGGTTTCAAAGTAAATCCAAAAAAATGTAGAGTTTATTTTGGAAGAGTGGATGATAGCACTAAGAAGGACATTATCAGCCTCATAAATTTTAGAGAGGGTCTCCTCCCTTTCAGGCACTTGGATGTACCTATGACTTTCAAAAAGCTCTTCATCCATCATTACATGATTCTTAGAGATAAGATAGTGAGAAGAATCAAAGATTGGAGTACTAAACTTCCGAGCTTTGTAGGACGTGTGCAACTTATTAGGAGTGTGACATTTGCCATTGTGAATTACTGTACGCAATGTTTTCCTATTCCAAAACATGTTATTCACAAGATTGAATCTATATCCAGGTATTTTTTTTGGATTGGTGGATCTGATGTTAGCAGAAAAAGTCTCATTATGTGAGATATTGTGTGCAAACCTCAGATTATGACGGCCTTAACATTATTGACCTTAAAATGTGGAACAAAATGACAATGTTGAAATTGCTATGGAACCTTAGTGGTAAACTTGATAGCTTGTGGGCGAAATGGATCCACACCTATTATTTGATAAAGAAAAGTCTAATGAATGTTCGTATTAAAACTCATAATTCTTGGATTATAAAAATTGTCCTTAAGCAAAGAGACATCATTGCAAATGTCTAACAATTATGAAATCAATTGCAAAACAAGGATAGGTTTAGAATGAAGGATGTGTATGGTATTCTGAGAACAGATGCTCCTAAGGTGCTTTGGTGTAGACTTTTCCGCTGTAATGCTACAAGGCCTAGGGCGTTGATGACTTTAAGGCTTGTGTGCCATGGAAGATTGGCCATTAAACATCGTATGTTCAAGTTTGGTATGGTGGATAACATTAGCTGTTATTTTTGTTTAAACGAGGAAACCATAAATCATTTGTTCTATGGTTGCTCTGAGCTCAAGAATATTTGGTCCAAAGTACTTAACTAGATCCAAGTAAAGTGAATCCTCAAAAGTTGGGATGAGGAGCTTGAATGGATGATCTGGTGTACTATAGGAAAAGGTTGGAGAAAAGTTAGTCGCAACGTAGACCATCTATAGTGTTTGAAAGTATTGTAATAGTGTAGATAATACTAAGATAGTAGAAAATATTATATATATAGAGTGATATGGTGGAAAACTTGGAGAACACATAGCTAAGTGGATGATTTTCTAGTTTCTAGTTTTGACTTTCGTTTACCTTTTTTGAGGGCTGGATCCTAAGTGATTGTCTTGTACTTTTGTTTCTTTTTGAATTAATACAAGTCTTTGATGATTCAAAAACGTGATATGTAATGATACTCGGTCATTCTATCAAATTCAATAAATTTTTATGTTGTTTTAATTATTTTTTTTATTAATATTGAATGTTTTATAGTAAATCATACATAGATTGAGATCATTGAGAAAAGTCTCAACTCACAACAAAATCACTTTAACTAGACAACTCTACAATGTGGTGAGGAGAAGACAATACACACAAACTAAAAGAGAAAAAATTGACTGCCAAAATTGTGCCACGATTAGGAAAGATCATGTCGGGATCCTGTGATGAAAAAAAAATCTATTGAAATTATGGCACGGTAGGAAAACATTGTGGCGGGAACGTATGATGAAAACATTGTGGCGGGAACGTATGATGAAAACTCCAAAGTAAAAACCTGCATAAATATTTATCTTAATATGCATTTGAATATTTTTTTTTTTGTGAAATTTAAATTCGATAAGATTATACTTTTTCTTATACCCGTGCGGACGCACGGTCTTCTCCTAGTTATGAGAGTGACAATAAAACTTGTTGCATAACAAAGCATAGCTGTAATGTGTCTAATCAGGGTGGTGTCCACTACACAAACAGCTAATTTCATGTGGCAATGCCAACTGTTTAGCAGAGCAGGGCCTAAACAAAATGTAATGGAACCACTTATGGTAAACATTCTCAAAATTTTCGCCAACATGTCAACCAAACAGACACAAGTGTTGCATACCAAATTAACTTCAACTGGAACAACTTGACAAATATTTATATTATTACATACAATGCTGCAAGGAGGAAAGAGAATCATAAGGACAAAACCAGCTAGCTTTGGGAGCAGACACAAAAGATACAATGTCATTTGGACAAAATGACATCACAAACCATAATGCAAATATGCAAGCCTTCATTGTCAAATAATCTCAATCATATGTTCTATAATATTAACTTGACGAATCAATAGCTCTGATCGCAACACCTGGCTATATGTTCCTGCTGCTTGCTTAATACTCTGCTGCTATAGGTTCTTGTACCAAGGTGAGATGTGGTTTGTCTGCAATGACTATATCACCATTCGCATGGGATTCTACTTCACCTGGCTCTATGTTCAGGGACGGAGTTTCACTTGTCTCGTCGGATAAGGCGGCATTGTTCTCCTCAATAGCTGCAGCTGCTTCAAGTTTCTCTTCATTTGTTGCAATAGACAAGGCAGTAACATCAGATGTAACACTAGATAAGGAGGCTTTCTCGTCATTCACCGCCTTAGACGGAGTCCGCACAGTTGAGATAGTTTCAGGAGTCAGTCGAGAGGGGAGAGATTTCCGTTGTGGCTTCTTTGGGTGAACAGGACTAATTCCTTTGGTGGGGTTATTCTGAGATAGTTTCTCATCCAGACTTAAACGACATTGTTGAGCACTGCTTATGGTGTTTCCTTCTAGCTCTGAAGATGTTGAAGTCTTTTTACGACCAAGCTTGGGAGATTTTGCTCTTGTAGTTGGTATCTAAATTCACAAGTCCAAAGGAATTTCAATTTTTAAATCATAGACAAACTCTTTCCATAAAAAAAAATATTGAGCAAATTTGCTAACTCGAAAAAGTTCATGGAGAATATCAACAGTTTCAGAGCTAAAAAAAGGTCAAAACTACATGCCCAATGAAAAGTTAAAAACATCACTTTATAGTTAGATTTAGAAAGTCAGTAACAAGTTTTCGAGCAACTTCAATTGGTGTTCATTTGATTAGGCCAGAATAACATTGCTATATAAATACAGTAGAGGTAAAGGTTCTTGTTAGTTCTGCTCAATTATCTAACACTGACAATAAAGTTTAACCAACTAGCTAACTTTAAACATCTCTAACTGGAGCTACGCAGTTCTTTGGTGAAGTTGGTGTGGCATTCGGATAACATAAGTTAAACAGCTTAGATGCAATTTACCACACACCTATGCCTAAATAGTAAAAAGCCATCTAGAATAACAAATTAAGAACTACTACTCATTTATAGAATTGGATAGAATATCAAAATCGGTTTAGAAATAGCAAAACTACCTAAATTTCAGAACCCACAAGATATGTACAGGCCACCAAAGCACAAACCAAATCTAAAGGTTCCAGATGGAGAACAATGAGGTAACTGAAAAGAATATTCAACATGCTAATTGGAAGTCCTTAATAGTATAAAATAAACCATCAGATTCATCGATTGAAATCGTAGTTAAAAACTATCTAATATATGCAGTGGTATTTTGAACTTATGTATAATATACAGGTTTGTTGCTTAAAACATGTATATTAAATAATGTATACAATATGCATTGACTAGAAAGACAGCACGAGGAAGAATAATTAATATCTATGCACGAATGAGAATTTATATAATGGGTGGATACCATAATTCTTAACAATAGAGTATTTCAGAACAAGCAAGACATTTGATTAGACAGACACCAATTGATAGAGTGAAGTGGAAACAGTGAGAAGCTTCGATCAGCAAATATTGCTCTTTTCAAATAAATTCAGAAGATTGGCTAAGTTTTGTGTGCGGGTGGGTGCGTACACATCAGTGTACTTGTGAGTTGGGTATTGACATGCCAACAAGAAACACAGTTACTATAGTTCAAAATAAAAAAACCAAAAAATAATTAGACAGGTTACCCGCAGCAGGCTTGCATGCAATCAGGAAGATAGGCATCCATGTATGCCATTAAACAGAAACTAACCTTCTTCAATTCCACCCGAGAAGGAGGAGGTTCCTGGTAGAAGCTTGGCATTGGAGTTGCTTTAAATGCTAGTTTTTTCCTAAGCCTCCTAATCTCAGCTTCTTGGCTCTCCTATAAAAAAAATCAAAGGTTGATATGTTTAAAAGGAATTAGCGGAAGTTTTCAGCCTAGCTATCATATATTATCACCTTTGTTTTTGCTTGCATATTGCTCTCCTCCACTTCCTTTGCATGAATCCTTTCCTCGAGCTTAGAGTAAAACTAGCCACCAAAATATGAAATTATTTTAAAACTACAAATTTATTCAAAGGAAACCATCATGGTAACCAAAGAGAGAAGCAAGTAATAATTATTTACCTCTTTTCTTCTCTCAGCTCGCTCATTACATTTGAAACTAAATCCATAAGTTGGCATTGTCCCCATTCTGCGAGGCTTTCCATCTTCTGCTGTTGGACTTATAAGTGGATTAAGGATGAACCGATAAACCACAATCGGAAACTACGTCATTCTCAAAAATAAACTACAATAAGTTAGACTCTCCTTCCGTAAGATAGACTTGCATCATGCTACCATTCCTTCTAAATCTAAAAATTCAACCCCTCTCTGGAGAGATGAATACACTTTAGTCTATTTTAATTTAAACAAATATTTTAGGAATGTTGTTTTCTCCCTTGTCATTTTTTAGATATCCTACCGTTAGTTGCAGGGTTCAAAACTATGCATCAATAATGTTCCTAAGAAGCTTATTTGCTTTTAAAATATACTAAAATGCAGCACATTTCATTTACAACTCCAAAAAAAAAATATGATTCAAGCATCTAAGTGAAATGTAATTTACCCATAAACGTACTATTTACATATACAGAAATCTCTCTTTGCTCCCTATTTCCTTCCACTCACAAGAAAGAAGAACCAAAACTTGACCGCAAAAAAAAGATACGAAGATAACTCAGCATTTCCTGGAAGATTATCAAGGGGTTCTTTCTTTATTAACTGTGGTCTAGTCTTCTCCCTATATCCAATAAATTACAATCCAAATGTCAAATAATTAAGATGATAGGATCTTCGTACCATATTCTTTTGTCAGAGAAATGTAATGAACGGTTCAAAATAAATACAAAAAGCATTTCATACATTGGTGCTTCAGAAGATGCTGCATCAGACTTTCCAGGGTGCTGAGAGAAATTGTAAAAAAAATATCAGTGAACACCAATACTATAATTTCATCGCACAAATCCAAAAGGCTAAATTAACAAACCGAGGAAGCACAATCAAAGGTAACCGTTACTTTGGACAATCGAGTCTGCTTGTCATTCAACGCTCTGCTCTTAACCGCATGTCTTGGATGATAGTCTAAAGTGGAGGTACCATTTGAAACAGAAGATGCTGCTACCACCTCTTCATCTTTCCCAACTCTGTTCTTTCTACCAAACCTGTATGAACACCTTTAACACTCGGTTGTTTCACTTTCTTATTCTTCACAAGACCGTTCCCTGTTCTAGATTTCTCCGTTTCATCTCCGATTTCAACATCCTCATCCTATAATTTACAAAACACAAACACATTCAAATCAATCAACAAACCAATTCAGCGTGGGAATGTATAATTAAACTAATTTCACCTTCAAAATGCTAACATTGTGAGAATGTCTACCTATTGTGTGTGTGAAAATTAAAAGTCATTATATTGGATTAGATTTTTATTAAAAAAAAAATATTTATGTTTTTTCAGTGGGAAAAAGTGAAACGCATCACACGCGTTTACAGGTGAGGTGGATCCATCTACATATAAATAAATAACAAAACTAGAAAAATACAGAAAGAGAGATCGTAACTTCAAACTTAAACCAAGCAGCAGTGACAGAGTCACCGTACCTAACGCGCCATTCATGGCATCTTCCCGAATCATCTCCCACTCTCAACCCAATCTCCACCGTCAGTCTTCCCCCTTTGACTCCGTCAAACCTATTCCGTCTCTCAATCTCAATCTTCACCCAAAACGACACCATAACCTCCGCATTCGTGCTTCCCTCAACGAGACGCCGCACTCCGTTGAATTGCGAACTATCCCCGTCTCCGCCGTCTCTAACGACGTCGTTTCCAAAGATCCTCCATCTCTTCCTCGTGCGTATTACTTTTCCCTCTTTCTCATCACGCTTTTTGGTTTCTAATGTTTTTCGCGATTGTTTTCAGGGCCTTTGTCTTCGAATCAGTTATCTAGTGCTGTTTCCGATGGTTCAGGACTTCGTGTTGCATATCAGGTATTTGCTTCTAGCATTGCATGCAAAATTGCAAAGAGTTTTTATATATTTTTTGGTTTGTTTTTGTTGTGTAGAAGCTAATTTTGATAATTTGAATTGATTTCATATGATATTGCATTTTTCAGGGGGTTCAAGGTGCTTACAGTGAATCTGCGGCACAAAAAGCTTACCCTAATTGTGAAGCTGTGCCTTGTGAACAATTTGACACCGCTTTTGAAGTAAATATTTTGTTATCCTTAGTAGGATTTAATTCATATATGCACCTTCAGTGTTATTTTACAATAATAACTACCTATGATTGGGTGTGATTTGGTGACAGTACAAAAACACTGACTAATGACACTATATCAAAATTAAACTCATTCTAGTAACATGTTTTTTTTATTAATTTCTTTACCAATTTCTTTTGTTATTGTACTTGAGTAGACGATTGTAATTGTTTGCACTGCAGTTCTCTGTATTGGTTTTCTTTTTGGATGTTCAAATATAGTGAATATAAGTACCAATTGATGTGTTGAATGAGGAGAGTAGTGCCTTGGCAGGATTCTGTTAAGAGGGGGGAAACAGTTATGAGGGATAGAAGAGTGGTAAAGGTCATGGTTGTTTAGGAGATTTCCTCTCTGGTTAGGGGCATAGTACTTTGGTTAGGAGTTCTTGAACTCTGGTGTATCTCTCTCTTTCTGTTATCCCCCCATTATAGAGCCTTTATGCTCAAGCTTTTTTATAAATAATATACTATTGTGTTCTTTAAATTTATGGGTTCTATGACATAACCTCTGGTAACTTTGATTAATAATGTATTTTAATAATATTGTATATGCTCATATATCGACAAATATAACTCTGGTAGTTTTGCATTACAAGTTCTAACCAATTTAAAACTCGAAATCATATATTCCAGTTATTTGCTCTTAGTTTCCATTTGTTATTATTGTTTTCTTATGATGGTTACCTTTTAAAATATATGGTTGCCGAGAGTGCTAGTTCTAACTGTCTGTAGTCTTTATTTTTATTGATCATGGATTCCTATGATAGTCTGTTGAAAGGTGGCTTGTGGATAGAGCAGTTTTGCCAATTGAGAACTCTTTAGGAGGGAGCATCCACCGGAATTATGACCTTTTACTCAGGCACAGGCTACACATAGTAGGAGAAGTAAAATATGCAGTCCATCATTGTTTGATGGCCAACCATGGTGTTAAACTTGAGAATTTGAAGCGAGTTCTTAGTCACCCTCAGGTGTGGTTCTGACATTTTATACCTTTTTTCCTTCTTCTCTTCCAACAATAAACTCATCGAAGATGGTGTTGTCTTAGGCTCTTGCACAATGTGAGAACACCTTGACAAGATTTGGCTTAGTCAGAGAAGCAGTTGATGATACAGCCGGTGCTGCAAAGGTAATTGTGGAATTGTTGGAAGCTATTTTTCTTGTATCATTTCAAGTGTTTCTGTTTATTAATGGTCACATTTATGTACATTTGACTTGCTTAGAAATGAAGCACTAGATAGCTCACAATTTGTTTTGATTTTAAAAAGCCTGGTTAACAAATGTCCTTAGGGTACTGGTTAAGGAATCAAGTAATGAAAAAGTCATCCACTAAATATCAGTTAATGATTGTATATTGCACCTTGGGGTGAAGGATGGATAGATTATCATTTTCTGCTGCTGTTGTTGACATGATTATCAATATTAGTTATCCTAACACAGTTACGGATTATAGCATGTTGCTTTCCATAAACTACAAGATGCAGGAGCTGTTGCTAGCTTAGCTGCCGCAGAGATCTATGGCTTAAATATACTTGCTCAAAACATCCAGGTTTGAGTCTTTGTGTTGCTCTGTTTTAAATGACATGGTAGACAATTTGTGTTTATCTTAAATTTGATGCCTGATGGATTTGCATTGGCAGGATGATAGTGATAATATCACTCGATTTTTAGTGTTGGCGCGAGAACCTATACTTCCAGGCACAGACAGGCCATTTAAGGTACCTCAACTAACATAAATAGCTGAAGTTACTCAATTGAATATATCATAGGACACGTCTCCTGTCTAGTTCTGACATCAATACTTTTATGCTTACTGACATCAATATTGATAGTTCTGTTGATTATGGCATTGAATTTTCAGACAAGCATAGTTTTCTCCTTAGAAGAGGGACCTGGGATACTTTTCAAGGCCCTTGCTGTTTTTGCGCTGCGTCAAATTAATCTTTCAAAGGTTAGCTGTTTTCTTGGCGTGAGCTCATATTATCTTTTATGGAAATTACATTTACAAGTGTGTTTTTTTATGTGTTTTTGATTGTACAATTGACTAATTGTTCTTATAGATTGAAAGCCGTCCTTTGCGGAAGCAACCTCTTAGAACATCTGATGATAACAACAATAGGTATTCCAAGTATTAGTAATGAGGACCATAGCCATAATACATTTTGAGTTTTAATTCATTCATCATTTAATTGGTTCAAATTATCATTAGTATTGTGTTTACAAAGATTTGAGATTGTTAATGATTGCTATGCTGATCACAGTTAATGTATTTAACAGGTACTTTGATTATCTTTTCTATGTTGATTTTGAAGCATCAATGGCTGATCAGAATGCACAAAATGCCTTAAGGCATCTAATGGTGCGACTTAATTTAATCTTATGAAGCATATTTAAAGGATTAATATGTAAGAATTGCTCTAAAACTAATACAATTGGCAGGAGTTTGCTACATTCTTGCGAGTGCTGGGAAGCTATCCTATGGATACTAGCATGACATAATTGATTTCCAAAAGAGGTGAGTGCCATTTCTAATTATTATTCCTGGAAATTAGTTTAGCAAGTTTACTCAATGTGAATGGATTCCAATTTTAGAACTTTGCATACCTTGATTGTTATACTAAATTGCTAAGTGGGTCGATTATGTGGATCAAATTCTGCCATAACATTATATTCAATACCATGTTTCTATCCAATTCGTTAATTTCGATATCTTAATAGTTTCTCTTATAATTTTTATAGGTCTTCATCTACCTCTGTTTTTTTGACTCCTCTATGTCTGATCTACTTTCCTTATAACAAAATCTACAAGTCTTCTCTACATGCCCAAACCACCTAAGCCTATTTTCTACTATCTTTTCTACTATAGGTGTTACTCCAACACTAATATTATCTTTTATAATCTTATCCTGTCTAGTCTTACCACATACCCAACACAACATCATCATCTCTGCAATATTTATTTTATTTTTGTGTCGATTCTTAACAATTCTAATTGTATAAATCCTCTTTCGACTCCAATCACTAATTGTTTAAAACAGAAAATAATGGATAGGAAACAAGAGTCGGTGTGAAAATAGGTATGACTTATTGAATGATTAGAGAAGAAAAGGAATGATCCCTACACTACAGAATCACATCTCCACACCAAGATATCTCTCTCAAACACACAACCGTACTCTCCCGTCCCGTAACCGTTTATAAAATTATTCCTGTATCAACTCTCCTGTCCCATAACCCCGCATATAAAATTATTCAAAGTGTCTGTATTTCTTATTGTTTTGTTGTTTCTGTCAATGTGGTTCAATCCCTCCCCTCTCATACCTTCTCAGAAAATTAAAAGAAAAGAAGAAAGATATCCAATGTAAATATTGAGGACTTAACTTCCTGCTAGACGAATGTCTTTGCTAAAACTGTAGTGACATGATGCTATTGGGCTCACCTCTTGTTCGGATAAAAGACTTTTGTAGCATAACCGTATATGTACAAGTTATTTCTATAACAACATATAAAATAAAGTCATATGGTTTTCATATAAGTTAGAGGCCGTTCGCATAAATAATCCAGAAGGGTTTATGGAAATTTAAAAAAAAACAATTTATGGACATGTCACAAATTGTTTTCATAATCTTTAGTGTAGTACAAATGTTTATGTTCGGAAATAAATTCAAACGAGTAAATTTAACTGACTCTAAAAAACCCGGATTGGGGCGGGGTATTATTTCTTTTTATATTTATCGTGTAATTTGATCGGCTATCATGTAATTGTAATGGGTTATTATTTACATTATTCACTTTGGAACTTTTATTGTTCTGATGCTTTTTGCTGTTAACTATTGATGGTGCAGGACTTGCAGATTTAGCTACTGTTGCATATGGCACAGTTCTCCCAGCGGTGGAATCATGTTAATGGAAATACAGGATAGTGTTTACATTGATTCAACATACAGACAGATAAAGAGAAAACAGTATCAAACGTGCAAGATCCTCAAAATTTTGATGGGTGTGGTATTCAGCATTTTGAATCCGTGTGTGTTTGTGCAAATACTATCTTTGTCTATGGTTAAATGCAAGTGATACTTCTATAGGGACTTGCGTATTTTATGTCTTATGTGAAAATAGTGGAAACGCATTTTTGCACCCTACAGGAGTTTGCAGTTTTGCACATCCTCTACCATTTGTACTTCTCAAGTGTCGGTCATGGATTTTATTTATTTATTTATTTATTTGATAGAACGCTCGCGGTTATTTTAGTTTTAGGATGAAGTGCACGTTGCACCCCTTATTTAGTTTCACATACTTATTTATTATATCGGCTATTTTGCACCCTAATTAAGTACTCTATTACAAAGTATAAAAATCAATTTATTTTGATCAGTGTTTTAAAAATATTTTGTTACTGAGTCATTGTCTGTAGCTTTGACTAAAAATCTAAGCAAGAAATGATCGTATACATAAAAATAAAAATATAACATTTAATGGAAGTATGAAATGATTTCATATGTATCTTGTGAACAAAGCAATACCCAAGACCATAGCAACTTTGTAACAAAATAGATTCAAAATCATAGAAAGAGAAACGATATCGATAATGATGACTTGTAAAATATTATGCATGATAATTTGGCTTATATAGATAACTATGATTTTTTAAATCGATCACATAATGATTTTGTATACAATTGATGTATTGTTTTAACTATCAAAGGCCACTAAAATATACTGTACATGGTTATAGGAAACAGGTTGATGCAATACATGGTTATAGGAAAAGGGTTGATGAAATTGTTGGTCGCATCAATGGTAGATTTGTATCACTGACTGCTGTTCCTATACATCACCTGGTGCGTTTTATAAAAGTTATCATCTAATGATTGTTATAAGATGGTGATTTCTCCATCTTATACCTTACTTATTTACTTTTTTGTCAATGTTAATTAAATATCATGAAATGATAATAAAAAAGAATCGGTTGAATTTCTATATTCACAAAAGTTGTATTAAACTTCCAAATGCTTCATCACTTGTTGGATTCTATTATTAATCAAACTTCTAAAATTATTGATGTGAATTGTAACAGGAGTGTAAGATGACACACAATAATGATGGATTTAACAGGACACACTCCGGACATGAAATAAATTGCAAAGGTGTGAATTGACTATGTTCTACAAGTTCCGTAAATAGTTTATTATACAACATGTTTGTGGATATTGATCTTCTTATAGAGAAACAACTTTGTTTTCGTGAACTGCATATCATTATTTTTTGGTCGCTGCTTTTTTCGTAAAACTGTTTGATCGAAAATATGCTTTATGATTGTTAATCAAAACAGTGTCACAAACAACATCTTGCTGCCAGAAGTAACACCTTCGCATCCAAAACCGAAATGCCTCCTTGCAATTCTCGAGGATTCCATAGCTGCATGCAGTTATTCTCGGGGATTCCATAGCTGCATGCAGTTTATGTCATCAAAGGAGACACTAAAACAGCTGTATTTCCAATTACATGAGACTGGCTGTCTGCTCTAGCTGTTTCCATGCTTCCTTTCGCTTTTCGGCTTCTGAGATTAAAATTGCTTCTTCTTCCTTAAATTGAGTATGGCAAGATACCAATCAATAAATTAATATTTTATTTTACATGTTTTTTAATTATTTATTTAAATTTATTTTGACTTTTGAGTTAAAGACTACTGAAATCTATATTTGGATCTGCAGTACAAAGCAATGCAATAAATATTTGACATGTAAATATTGAAGGTGATTTTGTTCAATTTCTTTGTATCTTTGGTGACCATGAACAACAGAATCCTCAAGAATTGTCATTCAAAGGCCTTATATGTTACCCATAATGTTATGTGTGAAGCTACTGCAAAATTATGTTCCAAAGAATATTATGTTAGGGTTGATAACTATAGATTTGGACTCTTACTTATAAATCATTGATCTCAATTATGTGATTTATATATTTGATTTAATTATCATTTGTGTAGCTTTATCATAAAATTTAGTGTAACAGAATTAAAATTAGATAGAATGAGATTTTATTTATTAAAATTTTTATTTAAAATATATTTTAATCTTATCTATACAGACGCAACAGATCTTTTACTAGATTTTTATTTAATTAATTATGTATTTCAACCTTTTACTATAATGTTTTAAATGTGATTGAAATATTTTATAAAGTTACATGAGATACTATCAGTTAGATTCAAATAAATAGAAATCTGCATAAATATTTATCTTAATATGCATTTTCTTAAATTATACTTTTTCTTGTGAAATTTAAATTCGATAAAATTATACTTTTTCTTAAACCCGTGCGGACGCACGAGTCTTCTACTTATGATAGTGAAAATAAAACTTGTTGCATAAGAAAGCATAGCTGTAATGTGAGTAATCAGGGTGGTGTCCAGTACACAAACAGCTAATTTCATGTGGCAATGCCAACTGTTTAGCAGAGCAAGGCCTAAACAAAATGTAATGGAACCACTTATGGTAAACATTCTCTAAATTTTCGCTAACATGTCAACCAAACAGACACAAGTGTTGCATACCAAATTAACTTCAACTGGAACAACTTGACAAATATTTATATTATTACATACAATGATGCAAGGAGGAAAGAGAATCATAAGGACAAAACCAGCTAGCTTTGGGAGCAGACACAAAAGATACAATGTCATTTGGACAAAATGACATCACAAACCATAATGCAAATATGCAAGCCTTCATTGTCAAATAATCTCAATCATATGCTTCTATAATATTCACGTGACGAATCAATAGCTCTGATCGCAACACCTGGCTATATGTTCCTGCTGCTTGCTTAATACTCTGCTGCTATAGGTTCTTGTACCAAGGTGAGATGTGGTTTGTCTGCAATGACTATATCACCATTCGCATGGGATTCTACTTCACCTGGCTCTATGTTCAGAGACGGAGTTTCACTTGTCTCGTCGGATAAGGCGGCATTGTTCTCCTCAATAGCTGCAGCTGCTTCAAGTTTCTCTTCATTTGTTGCAATAGACAAGGCAGTAACATCAGATGTAACACTAGATAAGGAGGCTTTCTCGTCATTCACCGCCTTAGACGGAGTCCGCACAGTTGAGATAGTTTCAAGAGTCAGTCGAGAGGGGAGAGATTTCCGTTGTGGCTTCTTTGGGTGAACAGGACTAATTCCTTTGGCGGGGTTATTCTGAGATAGTTTCTCATCCAGATTTAAACGACATTGTTGAGCACTGCTTATGGTGTTTCCTTCTAGCTCTGAAGATGTTGAAGTCTTTTTACGACCAAGCTTGGGAGATTTTGCTCTTGTAGTTGGTATCTAAATTCACAAGTCCAAAGGAATTTCAATTTTTAAATCATAGACAAACTCTTTCCATAAAAAAAATATTGAGCAAATTTGCTAACTCGAAAAAGTTCATGGAGAATATCAACAGTTTCAGAGCTAAAAAAAGGTCAAAACTACTGCCCAATGAAAAGTTAAAAACATCACTTTATAGTTAGATTTAGAAAGTCAGTAACAAGTTCTCGAGCGACTTCAATTGGTGTTCATTTGATTAGGCCAGCATAACATTGCTATATAAATACAGTAGAGGTAAAGGTTCTTATTAGTTCTGCTCAATTATCTAACACTGACAATAAAGTTTAACCAACTAGCTAACTTTAAACATCTCTAACTGGAGCTACGCAGTTCTTTGGTGAAGTTGGTGTGGCATTCGGATAACATAAGTTAAACAGCTAAGATGCAATTTACCACACACCTATGCCTAAATAGTAAAAAGCCATCTAGAATAACAAATTAAGAACTACTACTCATTTATAGAATAAGATAGAATATCAAAATCAGTTTAGAAATAGCAAAACTACCTAAATTTCAGAACCCACAAGATATGTACAGGCCACCAAAGCACAAACCAAATCTAAAGGTTCCAGATGGAGAACAATGAGGTAACTGAAAAGAATATTCAACATGCTAATTGGAAGTCCTTAATAGTATAAAATAAACCATCAGATTCATCGATTGAAATCGTAGTTAAAAACTATCTAATATATGCAGTGGTATTTTGAACTTATGTATAATATACAGCTTTGTTGCTTTTAATATACATGTTTTATAATGTTAATAACATACCCAAGACATGAACATTCCATATTTCCATCTCATTTCTAAACCCAACAAACATTTTGGTAGCATAACTAAATAATGTATACAATATGCATTGACTAGAAAGACAGCACGAGGAAGAGTAATTAATATCTATGCACGAATGAGAATTTATATAATGGGTGGATACCATAATTCTTAACAATAGAGTATTTCAGAACAAGCAAGACATTTGATTAGACAGACACCAATTGATAGAGTGAAGTGGAAACAGTGAGAAGCTTCGATCAGCAAATATTGCTCTTTTCAAATAAATTCAGAAGATTGGCTAAGTTGTGTGTGCGGGTGGGTGCGTACACATCAGTGTACTTGTGAGTTGGGTATTGACATGCCAACAAGAAACCCAGTTACTATAGTTCAAAATAAATAAAAAACAAAAAATAATTAGACAGGTTACCCGCAGCAGGCTTGCATGCAATCAGGAAGATAGGCATCCATGTATGCCATTAAACAGAAACTAACCTTCTTCAATTCCACCCGAGAAGGAGGAGGTTCCTGGTAGAAGCTTGGCATTGGAGTTGCTTTAAATGCTAGTTTTTTCCTAAGCCTCCTAATCTCAGCTTCTTGGCTCTCCTATAAAAAGAAATCAAAGGTTGATATGTTTAAAAGGAATTGGCGGAAGTTTTCAGCCTAGCTATCATATATTATCACCTTTGTTTTTGCTTGCATATTGCTCTCCTCCACTTCCTTTGCATGAATCCTTTCCTCGAGCTTAGAGTAAAACTGGCCACCAAAATATGAAATTATTTTAAAACTACAAATTTATTCAAAGGAAACCATCATGGTAACCAAAGGGAGAAGCAAGTAATAATTATTTACCTCTTTTCTTCTCTCAGCTCGCTCATTACATTTGAAACTAAATCCATAAGTTGGCATTGTACCCATTCTGCGAGGCTTTCCATCTTCTGCTGTTGGACTTATAAGTGGATTAAGGATGAACCGATAAACCACAATCGGAAACTACGTCATTCTCAAAAATAAATTACAATAAGTTAGACTCTCCTCCCGTAAGATAGACTTGCATCATGCTACCATTCCTTCTAAATTTAAAAATTCAACCCCTCTCTGGAGAGATGAATACACTTTACTTTAGTCTATTTTAATTTAAACAAATATTTTAGGAATGTTGTTTTCTCCCTTGTCATTTTTTAGATATCCTACAGTTAGTTGCAGGGTTCAAAACTATGCATCAATAATGTTCCTAAGAAGCTTATTTGCATGTAAAATATACTAAAATGCAGCACATTTCATTTACAACTCCAAAAAAAAAAATGATTCAAGCATCTAAGTGAAATGTAATTTACCCATAAACTTACTATTTACATATACAGAAATCTCTCTTTGCTCCCTATTTCCTTCCACTCACAAGAAAGAAGAACCAAAACTTGACCGCAAAAAAAAGGATACGAAGATAACTCAGCATTTCCTGGAAGATTATCAAGGGGTTCTTTCTTTATTAACTGTGGTCTAGTCTTCTCCCTATATCCAATAAATTACAATCCACACGTCAAATAATTAAGATGATAGGATCTTCGTACCATATTATTTTGTCAGAGAAATGTAATGAACTATTCAAAATAAATACAAAAAGCATTTCATACATTGGTGCTTCAGATGCTGCATCAGACTTTCCAGGGTGCTGAGAGAAATTGTAAAAAAAATATCAGTGAACACCAATCCTATAATTTCATCGCACAAATCCAAAAGGCTAAATTAACAAACTGAGGAAGCACAATCAAAGGTAACCGTTACTTTGGACAATCGAGTCTGCTTGACATTCAACGCTCTGCTCTTAACCGCATGTCTTGGATGAGAGTCTAAAGTGGAGGTACCATTTGAAACAGAAGATGCTGCTACCACCTCTTCATCTTTCCCAACTCTGTTCTTTCGTACCAAACCTCTATGAACACCTTTAACACTCGGTTGTTTCACTTTCTTATTCTTCACAAGACCGTTCCCTGTTCTAGATTTCTCCATTTCATCTCCGATTTCAACATCCTCATCCTATATTTTACAAAACACAAACACATTCAAATCAATCAACAAACCAATTCAGCGTGGGAATGTATAATTAAACTAATCTCACCTTCAAAATGCTAACATTGTTTCCCTCAATTTTCCCACTCAATCCTTCTTTCAATTCTTCCATACACAAATCATCATCAAAATTTTCAAAATCTCCGTTTAACACCAGTACACTTTCTTCAATTTCAGTAACAAGAGAGTCTACATTTGAATCAACACCATTATGGTCCACGGCTTCAAATCCATCCACCACTGAAAAACCACTCGGATCCATCTTTCACACCAAGCTACAAATTAGGGTATTAACAGAGAAGCAAACAAATCAAATAAAAGGATAAAATAGTAAATACATTATAATGAAAAGTGGTTAGTAACTAACCTGAGGTGAAGTATCAAAAGAGCATAGCGGGTTGAGATCTGAGGATCCGAGTCCGATAACAAGATCCGAAAGATTGAAGGTGTTGTTGAGGATTTGTTTTTATTTGATTTATGAGAAATGAAAGAGAGAGGAGTGGAGAGTAGAGAAGGAAGAGTGAAGAGAGTATTGTTATTATAGAAAGGAAGGATGAGTTGAATTTACAGGTCAGATCGTGTCGCTTTCTCCGCTGGATTTATAGTCATACGAAGTCACGCTCTGCGGTTGTCTACACGGCCTTCACGGTTTGGTTAATCGGGAGAGTTGTGAGAAATATAAATATTTTAAATTATAAATAATTTAATAAGCAAATTCTTAGATATTGTCATAAATAGATGGATCCGTATTTTTAATTGAAATTGATTTAAAGTATTTTATATATATATATAACATGATATTAAATGGAATTGTTTTATTGGACGAGGGTATCAATATTCAATTAAATTTAAGAATGCCGAAGTGTAATATTATATACATTTTTTATGTATTTTTTTGGCCTTGTTAAAATCAATTATTACCAAAATTACAATTATATATATTTAGTGTGCTTGTCTCACATTGACACCTTCCAATCTGCATTCAATTGAGAACATTCTACAATCGATTGGTACTGTCATCCATAAACATGTTGGATGCATTTTTTAGTGGAAGATTGTTATCTAAATCTTATGAGAAAGGTTATAAATTTATTGAGAGTATTACTACCAACACTTATTAATGGTCAGTTATTAGAGCAGTCATTGTTCAAAAGAAGCTAGCTGGTATTTACGAAGTAACTAAGACCACAACCCTGGTTGCTTAAGTGGCTTAAATACACATAGACATTACCCTAGAAGTGAGAGAGTATAAAAGGACCCTCTTGGACAAAATGAAAGGAGGTTTAGAAGTTGAAAACTTGAGAAATTCTATGAAAAATATTTCAATGAAGAAGAAGAGGAGGAAGAAGAAGTTTGAACCAATAGTGAAGAGTTCCCTCCACTCTCCCTCAATTGAAGAAGTGTTGAGCATCCTGACGTGATAGAACTCGCCTCTAACTGATTGAGATATTGCAAAGAGTAGAGTGTCATACTTAGGGTTATATTTTATTTTCATTTGTATTCAAAAATTTCGAATGTAAGAACTTGTGTTGTTGTATTTTATTTGCTTGTCATGATTTGAAGTTTATTGAAAATTAGTATTTTGTTTTAAATTGTGTGATTTGAAGTGATATATTTTGCTATGTGAAATAGTGTTATATATGTGTTTCTTTGCTTGATCACCTTGAAAATAGGTAAAATTTAGTCAAGGCTTGAGAGATTCATTAATTAACGGACTCCATAAGTAAATATGGTTTTAAATAGTATGATAGACATATTCACTAGATTTGTCACTTTAGAGATAAAGGACTACAACCACAAGAGGAATTAGAAGATACAAAAAGATATGTTTTAATGTTATCGTGAGACCTCGAGAGTTGTTTCTTAACCTAATACATATGCCTTGATGTCATGGACATACACCTCTACATCACTTTATGCCTCGTCTGTCATGCAAAATCTCATTAGACGTACACAAATTATGAACTTCATTAGCTGGATCATTGTCTAACATGCCTCTTATTATTTATTTAACTTTTTCATCATTACTTATCATTTACTATATTTCAACTTGAATCTGTGACAACTCAATATTATTGTTACATATTTGCTCATGGCTATTCACAAGGTTTTAATTAAAGAATCAATTTAAGTTATTACAATCTATGTGGGATCGATACTCTTACTTTTACATCACTTACTACTATTTGACTATGTATACTTGCACATATCAATAGTTCACACAACAACTTCTAAGTCTTCCAATATATTTACGTGTATCTCAACATTCCCACACATCTCCTTATCTTCTTTAACATCTCCCCTATTGTTCGGAAAATTGAAAAGTCTTGGGGTCCCCAAAGCCTGGTCTCTTTCAAGAAATCGTTGAAATTTTGTTAGGCTTTCATTGACTCTCACAAAACTTTCAAATATCATTATGTTCTCATCATGCCCTTGATAGAGGTGGGCCATAAAATGGTACGTGTTTGTCCCATTTCGGAGACCTTCAATGGAACTTCATTTCAATCTTGCAGGGAGAGGTTCTCACTATACTAGTTAGAAGATCATTTAAGGTTGGGCCAATGACTAATGGTCTTGGGGAAATGGGACTTATCCGAGAGTTATATGGGTTAGGTGAGCATGATTAAAGGATTCTTATTCTCTTCTGATAAAGCATCCTCGTTTGATAAAGCATCATCTGCTGACAAAGAAATAAGTGAAGTGAAAATGAAAGACCGATATAGACACTTAAGCCCTAATCATTACCTCATACTATGAAGAAGTGTGTTCTATTATTACTTTGTATATTTTTATGTTTCTTTCATCTTTATATTGATGATTACTAATCTCTTGTCTTATTTTGCAGCTCATATGTCTTCGTAGAATCTCTTGAAAAAGTTTCAGAGAGAGAGGTGAATTCAGTCTTTGAGCATTGTTAATTCGATATCATTCGATTACTAGGCATGGCAACATAACTTGTATCTGCGGGTACCCTCCTTGACTCACCCCAAGTTTGACAAGGAAAACCCACTTTGATGGGTTCAAGTTTGCGTTTAAGTTATTCCCCAATTTCAAATGATACGAATAGGACGAGTAATAGGAACACTAGTACCCATACATTAACCCACCCCTTAATTCACCTCGTTGATAATTTGGATGAGTTAATTTTAATGATTTATATTATTAGTTATTTGCTTAATGTTTTGATATACTTATTTGTACTTTATTATTTGAAATATTTGAAATGTATATTTAGAAAATTTTCAAGATTGTTTAAATTTATTATTTGTAACGTATGCTCATTTTTGTTTGGGTTCGAGAAAAATGATGGCTTTGAGGAAATAGGATATTTCAATTAAAAATATTGATTATAATGTGAGAATAGGGCAGGGCAAGAATATGTGAAACCATTTGGGATAGGATCTAGGTTTAATTATTCATCCTTGTTTGGGTTAGGGGTGGGGAACAAGGATTTATCAGGGACTCCTACTTGGGAACGGGGAAGGAAAATATTGTCTCTGCCTCTTTATTATGCCTATCACTTATGATTTCAACGAGCTTCATGTCCTGAAATATTATGGAGCTCATAAATCATGAAAATACTATGGGCTCAAATACTATAGACTTAATTCCCAAAAAGAGGAAAACTTTAGGTAAACTTGGTGTTATTCTAGAGAGAACTATCCAGATTGCTGAATTGGATAATATATTATCGGTTGTGGCTACCTTCCTTCTTTTGTCGACTCAGGGTCTTTGCATTATCATGTTGAAGATCGACATTGATAAGGTAGTTGATCTTATAACCTTATGGTCGTCATGCTCTGATGGTGTAATGTATATCGTATTTTGACAAGTTGTTGGCCTTCAACTGTGAAATGTTTATCGTGAACATATAGGTTTTCTTAGTGGAATAATGTCTTTTGATGGACCTAGACAAAGCCCAATGAAAGGATAATGCTTACACATTCAAAATTGAAAGTCTAAAAACCATTATTATTGATAAGGAATAGAAAATACTTTATGTTGTTAACTTAAAGAATGATATTGCCAAGGAAAAACTTTGTACATATCAACAGGAGGTGGGAGACTTAAAGCACCAAGTTTGCTCATTATCTCAAGAGAAACTAATCTTTGATTATTGGGTTATCCTTTTTTATAGGAAAATAAGGTCACCGGGAACAACCTCTTGAGGGATGAAGAAAGGATCATGTTTGTCAAAGCAGATCGAGACCAATTGGCAGGGGAAAGAAAGCAAATGGTTAAGGATAAGGATAACATTGTGGCTTTCATTCATGAGGTCTACCCTTGGAACTTCTAGATTTTTATATCCCATATATGTCTCCTAGATCCAAGCATAAAGTTGTGGGTGGACGGTTTGGACTGTTACAAGGATATGGTGGACATGACACATGCTTGAAGATATTTTTTACGAGGTTGTATTATATGTGCTCGACTTTTATATTTTGCATTAATCATTTTGTTTTTGTATAACTTTTTTAATCCATTAAAACCCTATAGGTTGTATTTATTATAGAGTATCGTGTCTTTACGGGTCAACTAGAGTGAATTAAATAATTATACATACATGATATAGCTGAAACTTCCCATATCAATCGAAACCCGACAAATATAAAAATTGGTTGGGACGATCCTTACTCATAACAAAACATGGTTATTAGATTTTCCATTAATCAACTTGATCGGGAAAATAGCAAGTGTACTATTTCTACCGATTGTAGTAATAAAGGAAAAGTCCCAAGTATCGATCTCGAGGACTGCGTAGTAATTAACGGGATTTTTAGGATTCAAAGGAACAAAAGATCTAGTGGTTTGTTTGGTAGCAGAGTAATATAACAATTAAATAAAGACTTATAAATCAATCTAAGAACAGTGTTAGGGGAGTGGATACGATGCGAGTAAAGACCATGTATGATTATCCTGCTAGAATAGTTATTAACCTTAATTCATAGTTGGCCAATTTAGTCTTTCTTAATTGCTTAATGAAAACCCTTTGATGAGTTTCATGTACACTAATTCCTCATTGTCCATGAAAAGCATCAAGCAATAGTTCTGACCATACAATTCGTGATACGGGATATCCTCATTCCTAAGCAATATCGACCGTGAGCCTATTTTGCAAAAGTGTTAGGTTGACTTTCCAGACTAAAACCTAAGCATAATTCGAATTCTACTTTCCAATATGAATACGCATTAAAATTGATGCAAAATAAAATATATAAGGTGAATAACATAGTTTTCATAGAATAATCAAACAAAGGTCAT